AGACCGAGGGTGTTTCTTATTTATTCATTTAAAAGCAAAAAGATTGTAATATCTTATAAACGACATATAGTTTCAGGTAACGTGCAAAATAAATTGTCAAATACGCAACTTTTTCAGGGTGGCAACTTTTTCTGGTAACAAATACGTGTGGGTATAGACGATTTGTTATACAGTAAGTACAGTTGTATGCAGTAAAATCCTAGAGGCTACTGTCTCTTTAAGACCCTCACATGACTACAGAGCTACAATTATACCTCTGGAACAATAACGATAGGTCATACAGCAAAGGTGACAGTACAGTAGGAAATGGCCTGAGAGTTGTGCCACATTACATGAGTTTTATGAGAAGAGTATGGTTCAAAAACACAATACAATACCTGTCGTACGCATATATGGTAATACTAATAGTAATAATGGTACAAAAACTTCTTTTTTTAATATTTCCAAAGCCATTATAGGAAGTTATCACGAGAAACAACACCGATGGCACATTGGGAATCCATATATGAGACCTTCAACTATTACCCCGTACAAACTGCAAATTTGCAAATTTTTGCAGTGTATACACACTATTCCGGGCTAAATATGCGCTAGTTAGCACCGCAAATGGAGGTGGGTCGAACGTGCTAAGTTAGCCCGTACTAAGTAAGCCTGCCCTAAACTGTGTGTGTACGCAATCCAGGGCCAGACGCGGGCTAAATTTCTATATACGCATGCACATAGCGTCGTTTGGGTCACATAAAAGGATATTTAAACCCTATAAAAACATAATGTAGCGCAGTGTGAGCTGTATATTGTAGCAGCGATGTTGCGGAGGTTGTTTCAGATAAATGCACCTAACTTTACTACAAACGATAGTGCCTATATAGGCACACTATTCACGCGAATACAAGCTCGTGCCCGTGCTGTTACACACATAGTGATACACAATCAGACTGACACAGGCAGACTTGTCAATCTCTCTCAATTCGTCTGCTAAAACGCGCGCCTGGAATCTACTTTAGGCTCCGTTTCGCCTGCCTGTCGAATAGGAAGAATATCAAAATGTTATATGTTTTACTGTAATCTTTCAACAGTTCATAATATATTGTAATGTGTGTGCTATTGATGCCACAGATTTGTAAGTGTAGTCTCTGTTACTCTGCCGTAGCAAGCCCCGAGAATATAGCACCCATGCGACACAGCAATTAGCACGCACCTACCTAAAACACTTAGCACTTATTTCGAGTAACTCTTATCGCTGACATCACAACTGCAAGCAGCGTATAGTATGTGACTGTGAGCACAACTGCACAACTGCTAGCAGTGAGCACAACTGCACGCAGCGGAGTGTATAGTGACAAGCATGGCAAACTTTTTATTGTATCAAGCTTATAATCGAGATAATGAAAGACGACATTTACGAAGAGAAAGAGTTTTCAGAGACAGAACACAACCGTTTGATGCCTACAATGATACAGAAATTATCGCCAGATATAGATTGCCCAGGCATGTCATTGCTAATCTAGTAGATCAACTGGACGATGAGCTCAGCCCAAGGACAATGAGATCTCGAGCCATTTCTGCGTCTTTGCAAGTATTTGCGGCATTGCGATTTTATGCAACTGGAAGCATTCAGCAACGGCTAGTGATACACTAGAAATCAGCAAAGCATCTATGTCAAGAATAATTTACAAAAGTGTCGCGAGCGCTGGCACACCGAGCCAACCAATATGTTTAGCGTAACCTAGCAACAACTGCGCCGCGTGTTTGTAGTTGCCGCCAGCTGACGCGAAGTTGTTCGCTAAATAGCGAGAGCATAGCGAAGCGTTAGTGAAACGCGTTGTTCGGTAAAGTTGATCGGTAAAGTTGATCGGTAAAGTTGATCGTTAAAGTTATTCGTTAAGTTGTTCGGTATGCCTTCGCTCGCTAACAACTTTCGTAGGTTAACGAATAACTTTTAGCGGACGTTAGTGAAACACGGGCCCAGGGCCTTGCACAGACTAGTTTGCTGTACAAATTTTGCAGTCTGTATGGGGTATATATATGACTAGAGGCCAACAGCCACTCCGTGGCAGCCATGAAGGGCCCACGATGAAGGGGTTATCTCCACACAGGCGCACCCGAGCATGTAAGGCCATCCTTAAAAAATTCTATGTTTGCTGTCCCCCGACCCATGATTTTTTTAGTGGGTAGGTAGGTAGGTAGGTCTTTTTTTTGGTGAGGCATAATAGTTCTTTTAAGTCTGTCCTCATGTTTGCCACACATGCTTTGTGTTTCAGTCTTAACTATAAAAAAAATAAATATGGAACCCAAAATGTAAAAACTTTTGGGTCACGGCTAATTTCGTGGGTCGGTCGGAGAACAGCAAACATATAATTTTTTAAGGATGGCCTAGACACGACGCTGAATTTGTAAAAAGACCCCCCTCAAACAAAAATTTTAAAAAGCCTACCTATCAACCCAAACTTTTCAGCCTGGGTCGGGTGAGGGCAAACAAATATTTTTTTAATTGTGGCCCTATGAACTCACCCATGCAGATCCATACAATTCCTGTCAGGATAATCATCAGGAGAGCCACCAACTTTGCTCCAGTGAAAAAGTCCTGAATCCGAGTGGCCCATTTCACACTGACACAGTTGATAAAAGTCAGGCTACCTGAAACGCAAGATCAGAGGTACTGATCAGAAAATTTTGCAACCAACCCAAGAGGTAAGGTAAACATCTCACAATTGCAGTTATCTGTAGGTGATTGCACAACAAATGCTATCAAAGGCTAGCTCAAATATAACCTCGAAAAGAATGTCTAGAGAAATTCCTACGTTATACAATTTACTCGAAGTTATATAGACGTGAAATTATGGTCAAAACAAAAGCTGGCAAACTGAATTGCTACTGAGACTCCTGCCTATTTCTTATGATGAAAATATTCAGTCATGTTTCTTGACACCCTGTTGTAGAATTTGAACATAAACATGCATTTTCATTACATTCAGAGCTTTTGTGATCCTAAGCCAAAATTGCATTTTGCAGTAGCTCTCTCTACATGTTTTTGAGTTAATTAAATTTTTGCTGTTTTAAATTAGAAACGTTGTAAATAATGGTTTAATCTGGTGGTAAGTTTTGTTTCAACACTAAGTAATATCCTAATATTAAATAATATTAATATTAATATTTAATTATTAAAAATTATTAATAAAATATTATTATTATAATTATAATATAAGGTTATATTTAATATCCTAATATTCCGATTTATTGAAACCATCAACGGTAAATCGACATATACAAAGTAGAGTTTCTTCTGGGCACAAAATGATTATTCATGATTTGGAATGCCCACTATTTCCTTATTCCAACTCTGTATGATTCCAATCACACTTATAACACTTCTAGAACGTATGTATCATTCCAACTGATAGAATAAATATTACGGTTATTAAAACCACACTCCTACGTTTCCTAAGTTTACACTCCTACACTCCTAAGTTTACAGTGATTGCGACATTTATGTTTCAACACTTCCACATTTGTGTGAAAATCAATGAAACGTCACACGGGCTACACTATGGCTAGGTCAATCGGCTCCTTCAACCAGACAGGCTAGCAATGTTAATTAAAGCAGGATCAACCCTAGAGAAATGGATCACCATCCAATTTCAGACAAGTCAATACTTTTATACCCACTCGGTGTGATATGTGGCTCGCCATTTCAATCTAAGCCTGCTCACAGAACACTGAAACACGATTACTCTACGTTTAGCAATAGTCTGTAGACTGTACTGATGCTAATTTAGCATGGTCAGTACTCAGTAGCGCTGATATGTCCCCCAGGGTACTGCCGGAACGTACCCTGGGTACGGTCCGGTATACCGGA